CTCCCAACCACCTACGATTGTATTTGGTGAATTTCAATGTAAGATTTAATATACTCTGTTTAATGGCTATGAATATTCACTACAAGTACTCAGTTAGTCCTCTTTGCTATTCTCCCATTTATAAGATCTAGTAGAGAGAAGGAATTGAGCTGCATAGGAGGACAATACTAATGACAAGCGAAGGTAGAAGAAAGGCATAGGATTCGACGGTTTTGGAAAAAAAATTGAAAAAATGGTTGTAAAAGATGGGGTCTCTCACCAAATTATTATTTGAGGATAGTTTCTAAATATTACATAACTTCCTTCTACTAGTATAGGCGACTGTAACTTTGAGAGTTGCAATATCAGTAATACTAGCAGAATTCATATTTAAATAGTCGGCTATATAAATAGTTGGCTGCATACAAATCCTAATACAAAATCTGAAACACTTTTGCCTTGTGTCCAAAAACTAAGGGGCTCTCAACTATGCTAAACACAGCCTAGACCCCGCATACAGAGTATGATAATGCAAGAGCTATGTGCATGTAGCTACTGGTCAATGCTTTTGTGTAATATGAATACATAGAAGATATTCTTTCTATTTTATTAGAGGAATATCACATTCTGTTAATATAATTTTTTCATGAGGTTAACAGTTACACTTGTGTAATATATAAATTGTAGAATAATGAACTAAACAATATAAGATAATAAAGACTTTTCTAATATAAAGCACGATGGTTCATTGATAACCATCAAGTAGTTCCACAAATAAGTTGATGCCTTTTAGTGCCATCTATCGATACATAGACAAAAAGATACTGGCTGTCTAATATAAGTTGGAATGTAGGTTATGTTTAGATAATGTCACATATTAAGATTCATTAAGTTCTACAATAGAGTATGTTCTTAACGGATCTTAATATTATGTCAAAAGATGAAATTTTAACATACCAACTATAGAGTGTTAACAAAAGATTAAGGGAACTTGTTCAGGGAGCTTTAGAAAACATCATGACATTGTTTCTTGAAAGGGCTTTCTTGTGCAGGAGTTAAGGCTGTACTGGTGGATTCTGTGAGATGCGTATCACTTTCAAGAGCTATTGAACCAACTTCAGAAGTCATCGTTTCAAAATCCAAGTCTCTCTTTGTTTTAGTCATTGAATGAGACATTTTGGCTGCAACAGTAGAGGAGGCAGCTATGGAATCAAACACCTTCTTTGTTAATAGAGTGACGAATTCATCCTTAGCAATAGGCTGCAGAACAGGATTATGAATATATGCAATTTCTTCATTAGTTGGTGCTGTTGTGATTTCTAGTGGAATTTGGGTTATTTCTTCAATAATATATGCTTTGACAGTGCTATATTTGGCTTCTTTGTGCCCTTGATAATCTGTTTCATAATAGCGTGTAAAATAGACTATTTTATGCTTTTGAATAGTAGATGCTAGTTCAAGGAAAAAGTCAGTTTCCTACAAGTCTTTTTTGTTGTTAAAGTTTGAACAATAGCTAAACATATTACGTGATAGTTAAAACAATTGTATATGGATATGACTATTCAATGGAATAAGAATTGGTTATTAGCTTACCTGATCATTAGCTTCCTAGAATTGAAGGGATATAAATGGTTTCAACTTTTCAGCATCAAGGCCAAAGATGACGGTGATTATGGATGATGTACCATTGTCTACAGCAATTCCAATTTGGGTCATGATGTACATTGAGAAGAAACATGATATTGTGCTTTTATCTATTTGTTTGGATTATTTTCTTCTAAATATGGGCATAAACGAGTTAAGTCAGGCACAAAGACTATCCTGCTCAAGTTCGATACAATAATTTACTAAGAAATTGATTGTGACTTCAAGTCAACCTCGACTTCAACTATTTATAGGGCAAGATATGTAAATTATACAAAAAGATGAGCATTAATATTTGTCCATCTTCTAATACCTTTTTAGTTAATACTATTGCTGAAACTGAGGTTAGCAACTAAGAGGTTCAATAATCATCAGTTTGAAGCTGAAAAATCATAATTTTCAAACAATATTGGTGACAAACTCAATGTAGCTTATACTTTTTATTCCTTTTGAAATCAATACATGCTGATCTAGTTAATCAATTTCGTTGTAAAATAAAGGAATGCGGGATTGACAAATAATGGTTCTGTGCTTTCCAACCTAACACAGATATCAAAAAGCAAACCATACACAAATTCGTGCTGCAAATGCATGAATTCCACGTGAAGTTTATAAATAATATAAAAGATATCCACCATATGGAGAAAAGATTCGGTGGTTGCCATTAATTTCCATTGCTTTCATCAATAAAGCTTGGATCTTATCAACAAAAACTAAGAAACAAACATCGCATGTGTATATGCTTACTGCATTCTTTTGCTAAATATCAAGAGGTCTATGAGTCAATTTACTATATATAGGTGTGAGGACTTTCTGTTTATTTCCATGTCCTTATCCAAAATAAATTAAGTTACTATCGAATTGATACATATCCTAAGATGTCTTAAGATACATCCATCTCTAGGTAAAATTCCAAAAATCTGTATCCACTTAGTAATTTGGCAGCACTAAGTACAATGCTACTCCAAACTAGTATCTTCCTTAACTTAAATCCCTGATGTTAGTTCAATCTTACCAACCAGTTTCATTATGTATAATCACTTCAATTTAAAACCCATCAAAACTTTACACCATAATGTTGGAGTTTCAAAATTTTGAGGACATCAGCAAAAGTAATATCAAGAAACAAAGAAGCCACCATACATAGGAAAAAGAAAATATTGTCCCTATAAACTGATCTAGTTAATCAATTTCTTTGTTAAACAAAGGAATTCAAGAAAAGCATTAGGAGCAAAGAAGTGCCTCAAAATAGAGAAAATTGAGTGCCTCAAAACAGAGAAAATTACTGTCATTAATATTTACATTCTACTAAATTGCTTCAACCATAGGCAACCTATGTCACAAACAAAACAGTCAATTGAAGTACCATATATTTATTGCTATAAATATGTTTCTAAGAACCTGAAAGGTTAGGATTAATGGAACACGATTGCTATTACATGTCAATTCTAGTTGCTTATGCTTCTTTGCACGAAAAAATCACAATCTTCTTTAAGAAATAGTTGCTATAGCTATGCTTAGAAAGAGTTTCTATTAGTTATAATCACTGCTTTTGCATAAAACTTCCACAAGTCAGCACCAAATATGATCTTTGTCCATTATGCAGTTATACATAACCTTCAAATTGTTTGATTTGTCACAAATTAATAGGAGGGAAACCCTAAAATGCTAATATTCAGGTATAAAATTGCAAGAAATCGTTTTAAAAGAATGAAAAAAGAAATCATACCTAATGCAGGAATGCACAGAGCAAGCAGAGAGCAACGGCCTGTATTTTCTTTCTTTGAGCAAAAGTAGAACGATGGTAATTGGAAAACCCAGCAAATTGCACATGAAAATCCATTCTTTGCTTGATCCCTAGGTTAATCTATGGTTGAAATTTCAGCAAGTACAATTGAAAGGAAAGAAAGCTTGCTTTGGCCAGCAAAATTGAAGGAGAAGGGCTGAATGAGTCAGTAAAGTCGGTGAATTAGGGCATGATGAAGTCTATAACTCAATCACATGTCAATCGACTGGCATTTCTATAGCTCAATCACAATTAGGGCTTAATGAAGTCTATCCAATGGCTAGAAATATAATATAAACATAGTAAGACTAATCTAAGGGAGATGGATTTTTTTTTTTTCGTAGCGACACATCTAGTCTAGCCTAACCTACTCCTACTCCTAAAAGGGGGGACTTACTTTCTAAGAGAAGCGACTCTAGGGAGTAGGCCTATAGAGTCGGGGGAACATGACGGGGACTGAACCACCATCAGACCAGACGGATGCACTACTCACCCGCATGGATTTAGAACACTCCTCGTATTGGGCACAATGATGGGAGGCAAGGTTTGAACCCTTGACCTAAGGGAGATGGATTGGACAACATTGATTTTGATGTTGTTTGGGAATTTGGGAAAGGGAGAATGATTTTGGATACATATGTCATTAAAATTTTGTCCAATTGTGATTTAAGGATAGAATTGGCATTTCAGAAAAATTTACTAGGCTTTCTCAACTCTTCGTCCAAATCAGCCAAAAAACGAACAAAAAGTTTTTGTCAAAAGAAATCTCTTCAAATCAGACGATATCCTTTCATTTCTTGGGGTAATGAAGCTCGCAAAACAACAGAAAAGTTTCCCTTTATCACACTTCCTTTTCTTTTCTTATCAAATCCCATATCCCAAACTAGCTGTTAAAGAGTCTTCGTGCTCTCTCAAATATAAAATAAACTCGCCTTAGATAAGTTGGCCGCCTGACCATTTCATTTCTTAGGGTAATGAATCTTGCAAAATGATAGAAAAAGTTTTCCTTTTTCACACTTCTTTTTCTTGTCTTGTCAAATTCCATCTCGCAAATTAGCTGCTAAAGAGTTTTCATGCTCTTTTAAATATTAAACCAACTCGCCCTAGATAAATTGGCTGCTTGGTGAAACTTAAAATGCAGATCGAAACTATAACCTATGCACTTACAGTAAAATTCAAAAAGTGTCTCTTTAGTTTAGAGGTGGAAACTATTACCTCTGGTCCCTTGACTCATTTGGGCCTCCATTAGATAGGAGATCAGAGTTTCAAGTCTCTCTGCACCTGCAACAGAATCCAAACCCGAATGATGTATTTCTGATTTAGAAATGAGAACCACTATTTCTGTCTCTTTTGACTCATTTAGACGCTCCCTTACTCATTTAGGCCCTCCTTTAAATAGGGAGTAGTATAGAAGTTACCAATAGATAAAAAAATAAATAAATAAATATGAAACGCGCCTTTTACAAGTTCCCAAAATTTCCCCGATTGACCTTTTATTATCAAATTAAAAAGAAAAGAAAATTAATAACAAGTCCCCAAAATTTCCCCAATCGACCTTTTATGAATCGCGCTCTTTTGACTGATTTCCTAACAAATTAAAACGAAAAGAAAATTAATAACAGCCATTCTACTGTCTAGTCTCCCCGCTAAATCCCCAAGTAAAACCCTTCTCTTTACCCTTTTTTGCCCCATTTCTTGAATCCCTCTTTTCAAATCCCTAGCTTTTTAATTCTAGTTCCTCATCCTTCAGGTTATCCGGGTCACTTTCTGTTGATTTTATTTGTATATAGAGACTGAGGGAGTATATATTAGCGGCGACAATGGCAAAGGAGAAGCAGGAGGAGGAGGAGAAAGCGAACATGGAGGCTCGGATACTGGGCGGTCTTCAATCCCGCCTTCAGCATTTCAGAGACAACGCTTCGTACTTCTCTCTTTCTCTGCATATATTTATTCGTTGAAACTCGTAGAAACGCATCAGAAACTAATTCTTTGTCAAGCATCTTGCTTGCTTTAGACTGTGATGTTCAAGAAAATAAAAGGGTTTCTTTTATTTAGCGCTTATCGTTACTCGAATTCATCAAATATGGCTAGCTGGTTCTTGTACTGTTACTTGAAGTAAAAAGGCTCTCTCTCTCTCTCCAATGGTATGCTGTGTCACTTTTTTGTTGACATAATTGTTTGTATTAGGAGGACTTTTGGGTTGTCAGAATTTAGTATTAATCTCATTAGGCGTTTAGTTAGAAATTTTTGCTTGATTATTCTGTTGTTTTTGTAAATGTAGTTCCTTAACTCTGGCGGGTATTCGGAGGATTTTAGAGGAAGACTTGGGGTTTGAGAAATATGCATTGGATGTGCATAAGAGTTTCATAAAGCAGTTCATTGAGAAGGTAAATCTGTACTACCCTATTGGGGTGTAACCGGCAAATTGTTATCTGTTAACTATTCTTGCGTTTGCTGAACTGAATTTCATGGGAGGTTTGTAGCAATATTGGTTGGAAGCATTTTTATTTGCGTCTTTGAACTATTTGTGTGAGTTTCATAAGTATGTCAAAACGTCAATTTTCGGCTTTTCTAGTTTAGTTTATATTTATTTATTTTTCAGAGTTTACATGTATATTTGTTTAAGTCCACAAGGGTGGTCAGAGAGGAGAGGTGGTTGGTTTGGCTTATATTGTGTGATGAGATTGTTGGAATGAACCAACTGTAAAATGGTTAATGATGAACTGCACCAAGAGTCTAAGAAAATGGGGACTCCACGGTCCTAGTTGGCACTAACAAACAACCATTTGTGCATTCCGCTTTTTACCTCTATTGTCTGCTCTTGTTCCTACTTATTGAAATCCTTTCAGTCTATTCTGTGCATGGTTAATAGGTTTTAATTGTTCTCTTAATTTGCCTTGAATGTGTCCACCTCTTTCTTGCTCCCTATCTCTATAACAACATAACCATACTCTTGCAGAATATAAAAATAGAATGACATCAAAAGTTTCTTGCTGCTTCCCTACTAATAGCTGTTTTATTCTTCAAGTAGAGCTAGCTAAAAATACCCTTCTGCTCTCTTAGAGGCAACAGTCTACACTAATCAATCCTTAGGGCAAATTCCGTATGCAATTGGCCAGTCTTTCCAGTGTTAATTACATCTTACCCATGTTATGTACGCATTGTAACTAGGGCCTCTAGTTTTTGCAAATGACTTTTGACCCCCTGTAAATGGAATAAACAAGAAACTGAAAAATGAGAAAATGACCTCTGTTTCAGATTAGACTAACTACCTTTTTTTTGTTGGGGCGGGGGGTTTGTGTTTGGGAGTGGGAAAAGGTAACAATGAAATAAAAGTATAAAGAATCTTCTGCTTTTGTATCTATGTCATATATGTTACAAGTTTCTATTCTTGATGCAGAATCTTTGAGCCTTATTAAAATATCTATTGGGCCAAAGCTCTTTGACATTAATACCAACTGCAAAGGTAGTTTGTCGTTCAATTTGCTATCACACTTTATTAGCACATGTAGTCACTTCTAAGATTTCTTGGTAACCTTAAGGGTGAAGATCTTTCTATTGAATGACAAGGTGATGCAACCTAGGAATATACTTCATTGTGAAGTAAAATTGACTAGTGCATTACAATGTACACCATCTCTATAAAAGGAGACACAGCTTATTGTAGTAGAACTTTGACTGAATTAAGACTAGGTTTTGGGTGCCTTTGGGAGTTGAGGATTCGAACGGAAAAGAAAGGGAAAGAAGAGAAAGCCTGATTTTCCTTTGTTTGTGAGTGTTAAGTAAGAGAGAAAAGAAAGGAAATGGGAGGATGAATAGTGGGTAAAATTTTTCCTCCCAAATTGGAGAGAAATGAAAAGAAAGTTGGAGGAAGCTTGTAAAAATTTTTAAAATACCTCTTTTATCCTTAAAAATGCTTTGAACAAATATTTAATGACTTTCATATCCAAAATCATTCCACTAATTCTCCAAACTCCCAAACAACATAACAATCCTTTCTCCTCTTCTCTTCTCTCATAACTTAAGTTTTCCCTTCTTCTCTTTTCTATCCTAAACTCCCAAACTTAGCCTTAGATTCCATTTCTTCTAAGGAGTGATTCTTTACTTTTGCTACGTGCGACCTAGCAAATTCCAAGTGTAAGACTATGTCTCCCTACTTTGCTACAATTGTGTAACTTCCTTTATTTAGAATTGTTTTCTTGGTTATTGCTAAAGTTGGACCTAAATTCTCTAATTTAATGACTTGAATACTCTAAATACTAATAGTTGGACCCAGACGTCAATTGTCAAAATCCTAAAATTCCATTGGCAGATTTTTTTCATAAACTTGCTTGATTCCTACCTCCTTTGTAAGAGGATATACAAAAAACATTTTAAGCTACTGCATTCTCTTCAAAGTATGCTTGGCCCAATTATGACATCAATATTCCACTTCCCCTACTCCGTGTTACATTGCCTTGAATATGGTGTTGAGAATGGGTATGCTCCAGGTGTCAAATCCATTAAATTTCTTAAATTAGGATGTGATGACTGTAACATAACTTGGGAATGGGTGTTGGAGTGTGTCCTGGATTCTTATTTGCGAGTAACATTTATGCAAGTATGATGACATACAACTAGCTTTAAATGTTCTATGACTGATGTTTAAAAGTAAATTGGTATATTTTAAGTGTACAAAAAGAAGAGGTGCTTACAAGCCAAGGTAGCAAAAGAGATGCAGATATGGCCTTAATCAATATTAAATTCTAACTCTTGCATGGACGGTTGTTTCAAACCTTTGCACCCTTCTCTTTTTTTCTTTTTTTTTTAGCCAAAAAAAAAAGACCACCATGAAAAGAATAGATAGATAAAATTAAAAAGACTAGTAACCATATTAGCAACTTCATCTGCCTTGCTGCCCTCAGACTTTAATTGTTTTAATTGCTATTGAATGTGTTTTATTTATGTCAATTTGTATAAATTGAAAGTTGTTGAAGGATTTTGTTTGCTGTTAAAATGCTAGAATTTGAATGATGATGATGATTATGAGACCAAGAATTCAGATAGCCACACAGAAAAAGAAGCCAATTCATCTGTAGGAGAAGCGACAAAATCTCCTGAAAAAGAAGAGTTGGCTAGAACGAGCCCTAGTGATGAGGCAGAAAAGGAAGAAGACTCCCCAATAATGGGAGTTTTGACACCCAAAACTGAGATGGTTGACTCTCAAGGCATTGAAATTAGTGAGAGCATGTTAAAGAACGCCATTTGGGAAAGAGCAGATTATATTAGATCACAGTCTGAGTATGTATCTTTCTTAATAAGTGTATATGTATCCCATTCTGCACTAATTGCCAAATGGAGTATAGAAGTTAGTAGACTATTGTGCTGTACTCTGCACTTCTATTTCCTTTTTGTTGATTGATGTCAATGATGCACTTCCCTAGGAAACTTACTTTGGCTGGAGCTCGCCGGTTTTTGGAGGACGATCTCAAGCTTAGTAAAAATGCTCTTGACCCATTCAAAAAGATTATACGTGAGCAAATAGAAAAGGTACTGGTATCTTTTCAATGCCTCTCAATCTTTGTGCATTTTTGGGCTCCCCATTCACCGAATTCCTTCATTTTATAGGTTTTTGATGCTAATGATGTTTCAACATCAGCAATGAGTGCTAAGAGGAAAAGTTCTGGAAATCGTCAGAGTAAAGCTGCAGAAAGCACTAGTAGTGAAAGAAAATTGGGCTCTATAGACGATGACGATGATGATGAACAGCATAAAATGAAATCAAGTGGAAAAACCGTTCGAAGAGTTGAAGCTAAAAAACTTGACAGGGAAAAGAAACGTAAAAGACCTGAGAAGAAAATTGATGTTGCTGTCAAAAATCAGAGTAAGCTAGTGAAAAGGCATTCAGAGGAAAGCAGCGATGCTGACAATGAAGGAGATGTGTCTGATGATGGTGAATCTCAATCTGCCAAAAAATCTGTAAAGGTGGCTTCCCTCCTCTTTTATATGCATTTACTTCAATAATCTTGTGCTCTCAAATTTATAATTTTCATAATATCAAAAAATAATTTATTTGCAGAAGAAAGAAGCATCAACTCCTACATTTGGGAAACATGTTGAGCACCTAAAATCAGTAATTAAAGCTTGTGGAATGAGGTAGATATAATGTTTAGATTGAGATTAATTTCCATGTCTAGCTGAACTCTTAATGCTGTTACGAACTTCTGACAAACTTGAACTCCCCTCCTTCTTGGTCCCGCCACCCATCCAAACTAAAAAGCATTGCACCTACAGTTTATAAGAAAGCAAAGCAGGTACCTGATGGCAAACGTGAGGCTTTCTTGATAAAGGAATTGGAGGACATTCTCGCAAAAGAAGGGCTATCAAAAAATCCTTCTGAAAAAGGTGAAATTTTGTAGTTTTTTTCTTACTGACCTTGGTTATTATCTTGCATACGAGATTTCTTTGAAAGATCTTTTAAGGTATTTTGGCTGCAGAACTTGAACATGCAAAATCAGCTTTTTATGTTTGAAGTCATCAAGCATCATCATCACTGAATTTGTTGCAAAAGCACACCTTGAGGATGTAACATTAGATTGTGATTTGTATGTACCTACTAGTTTGCAACTTTGAATCTTTCTGTCAAGGAAAAACCAAGGAGAAGAGAGGGGGGGGGGGATCACCTGTACGAGACTGAATGGCAGGGTTGAGTGTTGCAGGAAAGGTGAATATGTTGAAAACAGGGAGAAAGGGAGCTAGCTGCAGGTTGCGTTGGGTGGTTGTGTCAAGGAGGGGATAGTTGGAGGTTGCAAGAGTTGTGGGGAAAGTGAGTTTGACACCTGTGAGGAGCTGAGGACTTGAGGAAAGAGCAAAAACTACAAAAATGGGGAAAAAGTGGAAGATACATCATAGAGAAGGAAAAAAAATGAAAACTGAGAAAAGAGTGGCTCACTTGATTCTTTAATGATGGACGTATTGCCCCTAAACTTAGCAGAAAGAGGAAGGTTAATGAAGATGATTATCAGGATGACTGATATACTAAATTTTACAAGTTAGACGGTAAATTTGTTACAATAAATAGTGACTAGAAGAAAATTGCTGTAACAGTTGGACCTTTAAGGTCTTTTTCCTTATTTATTATGCTGACTTTTGTCTCTAGTTGATGACCTGCAAGCTACTCTAAATATAATTAGTGGATCTTTATATCTAACTTTCCAATTACACCATTTGAATTTTGTTGCAGAAATCAAAGAAGTCAGAAAGAGAAAGGAAAGAGCAAAAGAGCTCGAGGGTATTGATCTTAGCAATATTATTACTAGTTCGCGAAGAAGGTCAGCCATGAGCTTTTTGCCTCCTCCTAAACCCCAAAAAAAAGAAAAAGTTCGAGATGATGCTGTTAGTACTGATAAGGACAAGGATGCTGTAAGTGATGACAATGAAAATGAAAAGCAAGAACAAGAAAAAGATGGTGATAATGCTGTTAGCACTGATAAGGACGAGGATGGTGGAAATGATGACAAGAAAAAAGAAAAGCAAGAACGAGAAGAAGACGAAGAAGGTGATGATGAAGAAGGAGAAGAAGATGGAGATGACAGTCAAAGCGAAGATTTTAACGAAGGTATGCTCAATTGGCTATATGAGATTCTTTTGTGTCTTTGGTGCTGAATGTAGCTCAATGACGTAATAGGTGGGGAGGTATTTTCATATTCCTCTATTTGTCAGATTTATAGTTTGGCTACGAATCTTTCAAAAAGCCATTGCTATAAATTGTTACTTGCTTATGTTGGAAATACTGCAATTTACTCTGGATGCAATAGATCAGGCTGTCAACAAGAGCAATATAAGAAAAAAAAAATGTCCTGATGTTTGACATGGTAGAAAGTTTATGGTTTTCGAACAAAAGTGAAACTGTCATCTAAATACATGGTAAGTGCACTATAAGTTTGCACTTACCGTAAAAATGTTCTAATCTTAATCACCTGTAAGGAAACATGATAATTTATTGAAATGAGGGCCGTACCATATCCTTTTTGGGGAATGTACTGGATGACATACTTCTATATCTTTCTTCTATTATATACATGCAGTTGTGTTTAGAAGTCGAACCAGAATTATTTTGCTTGTCTATTTTATAAAAACATGCATAGCAAAAGATTAGAACTAAGTCCTTGGAGGTTTTTTAACTTGTTAGCTTTGGCACCCTGAAGTTGTGATGTTTTTGTTCCCACATGTTCTATTCCTGTGTGTTCTTAGCATGTTCACGTTCTTGGCTCCTAATGTGCAAAAATGTGGAAAATATTTGAGCGTCTCTGGTCCAATAATAATAAGACTAAACATTAAGTTCATATGGCAATGATTTAACAAGATAAGACCATTTGCGCATATGACTAGACAAGACTTTCAGGAACTGCACGAGACATTAACCAAATTTGAAACAATACCATTTATTGATATGGTGTGTTGTATTTGTTACTTGCAGGTGATGAGGACAGCGATTGAATAGGCATTGTTTACCTGTATGTAACTCTGACAAGAGCTGAAGATTGTAGAATTAGGAGGATCAAGGGGCACAAACAATGGTTAATAGTTGTTCGTGGTAATTTATGGCCAAGATTGGCCCGATATCCTTCTTTTATGTGCAGTTGTGATGTACTTGTGATATACAGTTATTCACAGAGAACATAAAGTCCCATCAAAGTGACGAATCGAGACCAAGTTCAGTAGCTTGTACAACTTGTGCATTGTTCTTTACTATGTGTGAAATACTTTGCATCACTATTCAGGACCATCCAACTGATGATTGGCCTTGCTCCGCTCCCTCACTCGGAGTATCCTTTCTGCTGGTTAATGTTTGCTCTAAGTTAGTTTCAGGTTTCGCAACAGGTGACCTTTGATCGAGAGTGCAGATATCTGCTGTAGGATTTGTAAGTTTATCTTTCTAGTGTATTGGTCAAGAAATTTGTGTGTTGTTGAAGAGGGTATGTGGAAACGTATTTGCTTTAGTTGGCTTCTCGTTAATGTGCTGGCATATTTCTATGGTTCTTCATCTGGGGGGCTGTTGTCTATCTGCATGTGGGAAAAAGTGTCATTTCCGCTCTCAAACGTAAAGCTGTCAATAGGCCTTATATGAGTTGAGTTTCGGGCAAGTCCAAGTTTGGCTCTTTTAGGTTCATATTCAATTTCCATGATATTTGGGTTTGGCACTTACTTGGGCTCAGCTCAAGTTCAAAAATGATACATAATTGCATATAAAATTTTTATAAATTTACATCATTAATACATGTAATTACAAGGACAAAATACACAAAGTATCCTTGTGGTTTGCTCGAAAGTTACGAAATCCCCCTAAGAAGCCTCTCCTGCTTTGAACTAATATGGAATGAAAATCATTTCGGTCCCGAATGGATTCGCAAGCCACGGAATTAACGAAGGACTAGCACCGTTACTTGTTACTCTGGGGGCCTTTCTTCTTCTTTTTTTTTTTTTTTTTTATTTTTGAAGCAAGTTGCCCTAGAGACTTATTGACCCTTGGAAATGCTTTGAACTAATAGCATCTTCGAGAATGGAATGGATTTTCCCTTTCTGAAATAAGTGTTATCAAGAAATACATAATTTATTGTAAACTATATATAGAATATATACATAACTTGAAGTGAAAGGTTACATTTATTTATATATGTTGGTGCAATATATATCACTTATCGGCAGATAGATAATTGGTCATATGGTATTGATAGGTACAATTTATAACTTATCGACAGGTAAGGTAATAGCCTAAATTGATAGATAGAAACTTATCGACTTTATTTATTTGAGACCAATACGGAAATAATTGGCTGTATCACAAAGAACTCATGAGCTGTAGCAGGTGAAGGTGTAAATCGACAATGAATATATTGGCCACTGTGCTTCTTCAAGGTTGAGAAAGCTGCTAGGTGTGTGTGGTAAGGGTTATAATGGAGATCGACGATGATGACCAACATTTATATGCTCATCAATACGTGCAAAGGCGTGCTGGCATATGTTCATCGACATAGGTACCAATACAAAAAGATGTTTGATATGATCAATCAAGTACCTATAAAGAGCTGTTGAAGCTGTTGCTGCGCCAGAGGAAGGACGTATGCATCAGCGAATGGCCCTACAAGTTAGGAAAGTGATGGTTACATTTAGAGAGGAAAGTGATGGTTACACTTACATTATCCCTAAAATCCCATGATGGAATTAACGTGGACCATGAAACTGGTGAGTTCATCAGAGGAAAACATTCTTGGTTTTTGAGGAAACTTACCATTATAAATACCAGAAGATAACATTAGATTGACACAAGGGACAGCCTATGGAAATCAAGCTTCAAGACCCAGTTGAGGATGATAAAGGATTGGGGGAGATTCACGTCATCAAAAGCGTCAACGCTTCTAACAGAGTGGTCTTAACAAGACTAGACGATGCTATTACCAGGCATTCACAGAAAATTTGATTGTCTTCTTTTACTTTTTATCAACTTTCCTAGAACTCTTAGCTAGATTTAGGATTTCTCAAAGCTTTCTTATTTTCATGCAATCATCTCTTTCTACTTCAATGTTTTTAACCAAATCAATTTTAGGTTCCGCAAATTTCCTCGGTTATATATGAATTCTCTCCTATTCCAAGCAATCTTCACGAGTTTCACCAGCATACTCTATATTTTATATAAGTTTTTCGGCTTTAATTTACCTCTCAGCTTTCATCATCAACATCTTTCTAATCGGTTACTCTTGACACGAATTTCAAGTCCTTGAGGCTATTCAAGACGAGGAGACGATCAGTAATCGTCATAGAAGTCAGCATAATCAGCGCACTCTCATTTTCACTAAAATCAGTTAGTTCATAAGATTTTTCTAGCATAAATCAGGTGGTAAGCTATCGACAACATGCTCATTGGTAACCACTGCGCGCTAAGCTCAGTGGTCACCAAGGTGGGTCTTAAGACTCTATTTGAGCTGTAGGTAAGAGTTTAAATTTCACCTGCAGCAAAAAAAAAAATTCAAAGGTTGTGTCAAAATACACCCTTGGTCTAATAAGGTCTGTGTACTTACTAACTCCTAACACAAAGTCTCTTTAAGTTCAAATCTCACTTGCAAAAAAAAAAAAAAAAAAATCTAAAAGTTGTGTCAAAAATACACCCTTAATCTAATAAGGTCTGTGTACCTACTAATCCCTAACACAAAGTCTCTTTAGGCTCTCCTTCTTTTATAGTTTAGAATAAATAGGTTATCTAATAGTTAACGTCTACCCGGGGGGGGGGGGGGGAAAATAGACAACATGCTCATTGGCAACAATTCGGAGGTCGGAAAAAATCAGTGCAAACAACCTTTCACTTGAATCGGTGCATGTCAACCTTGTAAGAATACAGGGGACATCATCTCAGTTTTGATTTTAAATTTTTTGTATCGACGACGGCCATGAAGATTACCATATGGATGGTTGTCTCGTGACGACCTTGCTTCCCTTGATAGTGGGACAACGACCCTTCCCCATTTTGCATCTGCTATCCTCATCATTTCTTTCCAAGAGCAACATGATTACTCTTAATAGACAATGTGCTGAATTCTCCAAGACAAATTATGGGGTGAATGATTGTTAGGCTTGTGTTGATATTGATTTCTAGGCTATTAGACCTAGTTCATTACTCTGTCCACATACTTGAATAATCAATTGTGTGCTCATAATCACATGAGAATATTGCACTTCGGAATTTCAGACAAATAAGATCACAAGAATGGTTAATGATGAGAATTTACTTAATCATGGCAGACTAGTAGTTTCATTCCATGGACAGGTGATTTCTCTTGAAAATCAAATTTATTCCCCTAACAATTATATCTCCTCCCTGTAATAAATCCTTGGAGTTCGATTCAGAGAAATGTTGCTAGAATGAAAAAATCCATGGGTGCAAATGAAACCAGAACAAATTGGAAAAGAATATTAGAAGAAAAAAAAAACCATAAAAAATCAAGTAGTGTTTTCTCACACATGAATTACGTTACTATAAAAAATTTTCATGCCATATAGATGGAAAATGTGGAGGATGTAATCCCATGGCTAATATAGGTGGAATTAATATGGGCTAAATCCATGTTGATACTGCCTCAAATACCCAAGAACTTCCATCTTTTTTTTTTAATCCCTGTTTATTCTTAATGCCCTGAATTTATTTTTTAACATTGTTTTATTTCTTTTTTTTTTTTTTTTGCTTTGTAAAAGCTCTATATTTCTCTTTATTCATTATGTATATGTTCCAAAGTAAACGTTTGTGTTGAATTTCACTCATCATTTTCCTTGTCTCATTGAATCCCAAAGATTAATATAGATGTTAATCTGTAGGCTGATGTAAGGGAAGCTATGCTAAACAATAAAAAAGAGTACAACTAAATTACAATTCATAAAAATTGGTAACTGTGTTTGGTGAACTGACATGCTATTTTTGCGCATAGTAAAGTAGTAGAGATTATCATGGAGAGCTTGTTGGGAAGTTGCCAGGATCTACAAGATTTCTTATATAGTAGCAAACATTAATATAGTAGCAATAGATATGCCTTATTGGAATCAGTCTTGTTTTTTCCTTTTTTTTATTGGACAAAAATACTACAAACTGCATATACAGCCTCATTCTAAAATATTTAAAACGGTTTGTCTAACGGGTGCCCTATAGGGCTCATTAAGATATATTTCAGGTATTATATTTTTGAAAATATAAAATTAATTAGAAAAAGTATATAAATGCAAAAGAAGATGATAATTGTTAGTATATGTATATATATAGTAGGTTACGTGAATGTTAAGTGTGTTAATATGTGTTTTTAGAAAAATTCGATTTAAAATATGGAGATATTTAACTTAACCAAATAGGTTCGGCCACTAATTAATAAAGCTTCTAGACTCGACAAAGGCAAAGCAAATAAGTTGGGTCCCATGGGATTTCCAATTTCCCAAGTAGTGCCCAGCTAAATCTTCTTTTTTCGGAATAACTGGATTTAGATTTAGCTCCCCATTTAGATTTAGGTCCCATCGTATAAATTTCAAGCCTGTCCCACCCAAATTACTTTAGACATGAGTAGTTTTGTTAGGAATTGAGATCCTTAGTCACCATCATATATCTGCATATAAAGTAGGGGTCTCTTGCCATCATTAAGTACTCTGCTAAGATTTGGGATCTCTTTTCATCATTAATAAGGAATGCAAATGAGTTGAATTCAATCGAGCTACTCATGATCTTGTTCGATTAAACCTCGAGATTGAGGGTGTGTTTAATAAAGGGAAAATCGTTCAAAACGTCCCTCACATTTTACAAGATGATTTTTTTCGTCTCTCACTTTTAAAAGTGTAATTTTACGTCCCTTACAAATTCATATTGACCAAATTTGGTCCTTACCTAGGTTTCCGACTAGTTTTTTGCCGGAATCCATCACGTGACTTGCATATGATTATTTTTTAAGGACAAAATTGTCAAATCAAATTTTTACATAATCTGATTCATAGCCCCTCACATTTCACAAAATGAATTTTTCGTCCCAAACATTTTACAAAATGAATTGTTTCGTTCCTCACATTTCGAAAAATGAATTTTTCCATCCCTCACATTTTTCAAAATGAATATTTTCATCTCTCATTGATCATGTGTATGAATAGTTTTTTTTTTCTATAAACCCACGTATATTTGTGACATTTCTCTTTTGGTAATAATTTATTTACTGAATTGTATAATAAGGTCATCTAATTAATGGGTCCTAACTCGAATTTTACTCGTTACT